CTCTGATGTCATGTTCCAACAGACTCAGGCACGTCTGTTATCTGTCCTCAACAAGGGCTGGGGTCAGAGATACGAGCCACTAGGGCCTGCAGGGCGGGACATGGGGCTGGACCATGGGGCTGGACCATGTGACTGGACCATGTGACTGGACCATGTGACTGGACCATGTGGCTGGACCATGTGACTGGACCATGTGGCTGGACCATGTGGCTGGGCCATGTGACTGGACCATGTGGCTGGACCATGGGGCTGGACCATGTGACTGGACCATGTGACTGGACCATGTGACTGGACCATGTGGCTGGACCATGTGACTGGACCATGTGGCTGGACCATGTGGCTGGGCCATGTGGCGGACATGTGTCTGGACGATAGACTGTTGGATCTAACAATACTAGTGTTAAAGTATTAGCAGTCTGTCAGATAATGAGGACTAAACTGGTTCCAGTCTAGTCCAGTCTAGTCCAGTCTAGTCCAGTAAAGAGACTGACACCTCTGCAGTCTGCTGGACGATCCACTGAGATGTGATGTGTGGTTAGCAGTGCTGCTATTGTGAATGGCTTGGTGTAAGCTATACTGTTTTGTCTGGGTTTTATCAGATGTTCAGTGAGAGCTGTGCTTCTGCTTTATCTGCTGAGTCCTGAACCGTTCTCTCAAACACAGAGTCTTCATGGTGCAGGTTTATGGTGCTAGTTTTTTACATTTAAGGAGGCAGACGTCTTAGATCCTCAGGTTTCACTTCATCACGAGCCAACCATAAATGACAAACCAGCGTTTACCAAATCGCTCTCACCACATTCAAAGGTTTTTTTATTTGGCTTTTTACATAAATACAACCAAGAAACCACAACTCAAACCTTCACGTTTTTGTGCACGTTTTTAAGCTAGTTGTTGCAGCTAGTCTCAGAGCTAGTTTCTGACTTGTTATTAGAGGTTAAGACGGTAGCCTTACTAGCATAGATGTTATTAGAGGTTAAGACGGTAGCCTTACTAGCATAGATGTTATTAGATGTCAGGACGGTAGCGTTACTAGCATAGATGTTATTAGACGTCAGGACGGTAGCGTTACTAGCATAGATGTTATTAGATGTCAGGACGTAGCGTTACTAGCATAGATGTTATTAGATGTCAGGACGGTAGCGTTACTAGCATAGATGTTATTAGATGTCAGGACGTAGCGTTACTAGCATAGATGTTATTAGATGTCAGGACGGTAGCGTTACTAGCGTAGCATGTGTTTTGAATCAGAGTGTGTGTTAGCGGCTGCTCTTCCACTCTGACAGACACATTCCACACTCACTGAGGGAGCGCAGTGTGTTTATTTAGACACACACTGTAGTCAACATGTCTGACCCCAGAGCAGCCTGGATTCATGCTGCACGAATATGGAGCAGTCTGCCTAAAAATGTGAGACAGGCTTCTTCTCTGACAATGTTCAAATCCAGGTTAAAACAGTTCTGCTTCGCTGTTGGATTGTATTTTTACTCTTTTTAATGTTCTATGATTATTTATGATGTCATTCTGTCTCTCTGTGGAACCCCTTTGAGTTAAACTTGTGGATGAACTGTGCCACAAATAAACCTGAAATACTGTGGATTATAAACATCCAAGTCTGACTCACTCTGCATGAGACCAGAGAGAGACCAGAGAGAGACCAGAGAGAGACCAGAGAGAGACCAGAGAGAGACCAGAGAGAGACCAGAGAGAGACCAGAGAGAGAGACCAGAGAGAGACCAGAGAGAGACCAGAGAGAGAGACCAGAGAGAGACCAGAGAGAGACCAGAGAGAGACCAGAGAGAGACCAGAGAGAGACCAGAGAGAGACCAGAGAGAGAGACCAGAGAGAGAGACCAGAGAGAGACCAGAGAGAGACCAGAGAGAGACCAGAGAGAGACCAGAGAGAGAGACCAGAGAGAGACCAGAGAGAGACCAGAGAGAGACCAGAGAGAGACCAGAGAGAGAGACCAGAGAGAGACCAGAGAGAGACCAGAGAGAGACCAGAGAGAGACCAGAGAGAGACCAGAGAGAGACCAGAGAGAGAGACCAGAGAGAGACCAGAGAGAGACCAGAGAGAGACCAGAGAGAGAGACCAGAGAGAGACCAGAGAGAGACCAGAGAGAGACCAGAGAGAGACCAGAGAGAGACCAGAGAGAGACCAGAGAGAGACCAGAGAGAGACCAGAGAGAGAGACCAGAGAGAGAGACCAGAGAGAGACCAGAGAGAGACCAGAGAGAGACCAGAGAGAGACCAGAGAGAGACCAGAGAGAGACCAGAGAGAGACCAGAGAGAGACCAGAGAGAGACCAGAGAGAGAGACCAGAGAGAGAGACCAGAGAGAGACCAGAGAGAGACCAGAGAGAGACCAGAGAGAGACCAGAGAGAGACCAGAGAGAGACCAGAGAGAGACCAGAGAGAGAGACCAGAGAGAGACCAGAGAGAGACCAGAGAGAGACCAGAGAGAGACCAGAGAGAGACCAGAGAGAGAGACCAGAGAGAGACCAGAGAGAGACCAGAGAGAGACCAGAGAGAGAGACCAGAGAGAGAGACCAGAGAGAGAGACCAGAGAGAGACCAGAGAGAGACCAGAGAGAGACCAGAGAGAGACCAGAGAGAGACCAGAGAGAGACCAGAGAGAGACCAGAGAGAGACCAGAGAGAGACCAGAGAGACCAGAGAGAGACCAGAGAGAGACCAGAGAGAGACCAGAAAGAGACCAGAGAGAGACCAGAGAGAGACCAGAGAGAGACCAGAGAGAGAGAGACACACCAGAAAGAGAGACCAGAGAGAGACCAGAGAGAGACCAGAGAGAGACCAGAGAGAGACCAGAGAGAGAGAGACACACCAGAAAGAGAGACCAGATAGACACCAGTGAGAGAGAGAGCAGAGAGACCAGTGAAAGAGAGACCACAGACAGACCAGAGAGAGACCAGAGGGGGAGGCAGGCCAGAGGGGGAGGCAGGCCACATGGGGGAGGCAGGCCAGAGGGGGAGGCAGGCCACATGGGGTAAGCAGGCCAGAGGGGGAGGCAGGCCACATGGGGTAAGCAGGCCAGAGGGGGAGGCAGGCCACATGGGGTAAGCAGGCCAGAGGGGGAGGCAGGCCACATGGGGTAAGCAGGCCAGAGGGGGAGGCAGGCCACATGGGGTAAGCAGGCCAGAGGGTGAGGCAGGCCACATGGGGTAAGCAGGCCAGAGGGGGAGGCAGGCCACATGGGGTAAGCAGGCCAGAGGGGGAGGCAGGCCACATGGGGTAAGCAGGCCAGAGGGGGAGGCAGGCCACATGGGGGAGGCAGACCTTTTATAGAACATAAATCTCTTCCCCAGTCTCTCCTTGAGCTCCTTTATGTCCTCTTTACAACAGTCCTCAGTGACTCTGCTACACACAGGGCCAGGCCTTTATATGGCGTTTGTTTACGTGTGTGTGAATCTGAGATGGTCACGAGATATCGACTGACGTCAGGGCAACGGAGCGGGCACGAAACCATTAAAGGGTCACGGCAATACCATTCGAACACCACAAAAACACTACAAGAATAACACAAAAATACATCAAGAATGGCTCAGTTCAGGAGGCTGTGTGGAGCAGATCTCAGAATCAGAATCCTTTCATTGCTGAGTGAGAAACAGGAAGTCACAAACTGCTTTGGCTCTCGGTGCAAACAAGTTAAAGCAGAAAAAACAATAAGGCAAATATAAATATCTCATAAATGTCTTCAGTTTACTACATACAGTGCACTAAGTGCACACAACTGACTGTTAAGAGTGCGGTAGAGTGCAGTAAAGTGACAGTAGCATAAAGTGACGGTAGCATAAAGTGACGGTAGCATAAAGTGACAGTAGCATAAAGTGACAGTTGCATAAAGTGACAGTTGCATAAAGTGACAGTTGCATAAAGTGACGGTAGCATAAAGTGACAGTAGCATAAAGTGACAGTAGCATAAAGTGACAGTAGCATAAAGTGACGGTAGCATAAAGTGACAGTAGCATAAAGTGACGGTAGCATAAAGTGACAGTAGCATAAAGTGACAGTTGCATAAAGTGACAGTTGCATAAAGTGACGGTAGCATAAAGTGACAGTAGCATAAAGTGACAGTAGCATAAAGTGACAGTAGCATAAAGTGACGGTAGCATAAAGTGACAGTAGCATAAAGTGACAGTTGCATAAAGTGACGGTAGCATAAAGTGACAGTAGCATAAAGTGATGGTAGCATAAAGTGACAGTAGCATAAAGTGACGGTGCATAAAGTGACGGTAGCATAAAGTGACGGTTGCATAAAGTGACGGTAGCATAAAGTGACGGTAGCATAAAGTGAAGGTAACATAAAGTGACGGTGCATAAAGTGACAGTAGCATAAAGTGACGGTGCATAAAGTGACGGTAGCATAAAGTGACGGTGCATAAAGTGACAGTAGCATAAAGTGCCGGTTGCATAAAGTGACGGTAGCATAAAGTGACGGTAGCATAAAGTGACGGTAGCATAAAGTGACGGTAGCATAAAGTGAAGGTAGTATAAAGTGACAGTAGCATAAAGTGCCAGTAGCATAAATTTGAGGTTGCTGCAGACTTCTTATTAGGCTGAGACACATTTACTGCTCTGTAACTTGTGAGGCAACACTGGAATTTCCCCACTGTGGGACAAATGTAGGTGATAGCTGGAATCTTTTTAATAAATAACATTTTTGTCCTACAGAGAGAGTCTTGAAATTGTCTCCAACTTAATCTTGTGCATACTTCACTGTGAGTCCCTGTGAGTCACTATTTCTTTGGGCTGGGAGCTGATTGGCTGAGGGAGAGAGAGAGAGATTCAGAACACGAGATGTCTCCCTCATCGTCACCTGGACAGACCCCCCACTGAGAGGACGAGCTCTGACTCATGCTCAGACAGAATGAGTCAGATATTGTGGGATGTTCTTCTGTTTCATCAGAGTCACTGACACCGTGAGCTCTTGTTGAAGAAGCTAAAACTGTCTTCACCACAGAAGGGTTCTCAACCTGGTGGAGGACCATGGTACTGCAGCCTCTTATGGTGGAGGACCGCGGTACTGCAGCCTCTCATGGTGGAGGACCGCGGTACTACAGCCTCTCATGGTGGAGGACCGCGGTACTACAGCCTCTTATGGTGGAGGACCGCGGTACTGCAGCCTCTCATGGTGGAGGACCATGGTACTGCAGCCTCTCATGGTGGAGGACCGCGGTACTGCAGCCTCTTAGGGTGGAGGACCATGGTACTGCAGCCTCTCATGGTGGAGGGCCGCGGTACTGCAGCCTCTCATGGTGGAGGACCGCGGTACTGCAGCCTCTCATGGTGGAGGACCATGGTACTGCAGCCTCTTATGGTGGAGGACCGCGGTACTGCAGCCTCTCATGGTGGAGAACCGCGGTACTACAGAGAGAGAGACCAGAGGGAGAGACCAGAGGGAGAGACCAGAGAGAGACACCAGAGAGAAGGACCAGAGAGAGAGAGACCAGAGAGAAAGAAAGAGGCCGGAGGGAGAAGGACCAGAGGGGGAGGGACCAAAGAGAGATCAGAGAGAGACCAGAGGAAGAGAGAGACCAAAGAGACCAGAGAGAGAGACCAGAGGGAGAGACCAGAGAGAGAGACCAGAGGAAGAGAGAGACCAGAAAGAGTGTAATCATATCAGAAAACAGAATGCCTTGACATAACAAGAGGGTAGAGTTGGTTGAGCCTTGAACACTGAGACTGGGAGAGACACTTTTGGAGCATCCTGTTAAGACGTTTTCGAGAGGAAAGAAGACGCCATTCAAATTGGATAATTCTCCTTCTGGGTACACCCCCACAGGCCTGGAGTGGTATTGCAAGAATGTCAGTGCACGGACGTTTTTGAGCCGGGACCCGCCCACACTGGGTGGAGGACAAAAACAGCTCCAGATCACTGGTCCTCAACACAACAACACATTCACGGCACCAGAGAGAGGGCGTGGCCTGGAGCTCACTGAGGCCCTGTAAAAGAGTGGGAAGTGTGGGAAGTGTGGTCGTAAAAGTCTGACTGAGGAGAGAGAGAGAGGGGAGAGAGAGAGAGAGAAAGACTAGCGAGGGGAGAGACCAGGGAAAGAGACCAGAGAGAGAGAGAGAGAGAGAGAGGAGAGAGACCAGAGAGAGGGGGAGAGAGACAGGAGAGAGAGGGAGAGAGGGGAGAGACCAGAGAGAGAGGAGAGAGACCAGAGAGAGAGGAGAGACCAGAGAGAGGGGAGAGACCAGAGAGAGAGGAGAGAGACCAGAGAGAGAGAGAGAGAGAGGAGAGAGGGGAGAGACCAGAGAGAGAGGAGGGAGAGACCAGAGAGAGAGGAGAGACCAGAGAGAGAGGAGAGACCAGAGAGAGGGGGGAGACCAGAGAGAGAGGAGAGACCATAGAGAGGGGAGAGACCAGAGAGAGGGGAGAGAGGGGAGAGACCAGAGAGAGAGGAGAGAGACCAGAGAGAGAGAGAGAGACAGGAGAGAGGGGATAGACCAGAGAGAGAGGAGAGAGACCAGAGAGAGAGGAGAGACCAGAGAGAGGAGAGAGACCAGAGAGAGAGAGAGAGAGAGAGGAGAGAGACCAGAGAGAGGGGAGAGAGACAGGAGAGAGAGGAGAGAGGGGAGAGACCAGAGAGAGAGGAGAGAGACCAGAGAGAGAGGAGAGACCAGAGAGAGGGGAGAGACCAGAGAGAGAGGAGAGAGACCAGAGAGAGAGGGGAGAGACCAGAGAGAGAGGAGAGACCAGAGAGAGAGGAGAGAGACCAGAGAGAGAGAGAGAGAGAGAGGAGAGAGACCAGAGAGAGGGGAGAGACAGGAGAGAGAGGAGAGAGGGGAGAGACCAGAGAGAGAGGAGAGAGACCAGAGAGAGAGGAGAGACCAGAGAGAGAGGAGAGCGAGAGGAGAGAGACCAGAGAGAGAGGAGAGACCAGAGAGAGGAGAGAGAGAGGAGAGCGAGAGGAGAGAGACCAGAGAGAGAGGAGAGGAGAGAGAGAGGAGAGCGAGAGGAGAGAGACCAGAGAGAGAGGAGAGCGAGAGAGAGAGGAGAGAGAGGAGAGAGAGGAGAGAGAGGAGAGAGAGAGAGAGAGAGAGAGGACATAGACCAGAGAGATCAGACAGAGAGAGGAGAGAGAGATCAGAGGGAAGAGAGCAGAGAAAGGAGAGAGAGGGGGATGGAAAACAGGAAAGGGTGGTCCTCACGCCTCACAGGGACTTTTTGAAGCTTTCTGTGTTTTCAGAACATCCGCTGCAGGAATGCGTTCAATCTGAGACTGAGAGAGAATCCACAAACTAGTTTTAGTCTAAAATGTATCTTTGAAAAGCACGACCTTAGATCTAAATGTTCATATTAGAATCCACAGTAAACATGTTATTTTAGTTTCGAGTGATAGTTCATTATCTGTGTGCTCCTCAGTCCTTCATCTACATCTTACTAACTCCTAAAACTACTACTAAATGTTTTGTGAGACTTTTTATTTGTGTTTTATGAGAAAAACCAACGTAAAATGGCCGCCGTGTGTGGAGTGAAAGTTTAATTACACACTGCTTGGTTGGTGGATCCCTCTGTGCTCCAGTCACAGATGCTAACCTTCTGGAGCGAGTTTCTACCACAGACTGTAAACACGTGGACAATGCTAACCCGCTAGCTCAATGCTAACTCAACAGGGAAGTGCTCATCGTGAAGTTTGTGTCACACTCACACATTAATATCCTTTCAACACTGTTCACACAGATTAGATTACACTATAATCTATAATTAATAGTTAGTCTCTGTCTCTGCCTCTGTCTCTGTGGTCTGTCTCAGGCCACGACTCATATTTAAGACTGACTCTGGATTTTTCTGATACGAGAAAGATCCAGAGAATTCTATATTGAGGCCTCAGTGAAAGACTCCCACTCCCCACACTTCCTTCCTCTGCATGTGCTACTCTACCCTACCCTACCCTACCCTACTCTACCCTACCCTATGAAGAAGATGTGCCAAGTCTGGGATCGCGTCTTTCATTCAGACAGAAGACATGTTTTATTGTCAATGGTAGAGACAGCACGATCAACAGATACAACAGAATGCAAGTGTATTATACAGAGCGTTGGCATGGAGACCTCCAATCAGCAGCTGCCACAGTGCCATGTAGCTTGGCCTTCAGATAGACACAACAAGGGAAAAGTACTGGCTTCTGCACATTGATAGAATGATGAGTTTAACTTTAACAAAAGTTGCTTAAAAGTGTTATGAAATCTCACACCTACCCTACTCTACCCTACCCTACTCTACTCTACTCTACCCTACTCTACTCTACTCTACCCTACTCTACTCTACTCTACCCTACTCTACCCTACCCTACTCTACCCTACACTACTCTACCCTACCCTACTCTACTCTACTCTACCCTACTCTACTCTACCCTACTCTACCCTACTCTACCCTACCCTACTCTACCCTACCCTACTCTACCCTACTCTCCCCTACCCTACCCTACCCTACCCTACCCTACCCTACCCTACTCTACTCTACCCTACCCTACCCTACCCTACCCTACTCTACCCTACCCTACTCAACCCAACCTACTCTACCCTACTCTATCCTACCCTACTCTACCCTACTCTATCCTACCCTACTCTACCCTACCCTACCCTACTCTACCCTACCCTACCCTACTCTACCCTACTCTACCCTACCCTACCCTACACTACCCTACCCTACCCTACTCTACTCTACCCTACTCTACCCTACCCTACTCTACCCTACCCTACCCTACCCTACCCTACTCTACCCTACCCTCCCCTCCCCTACTCTACCCTACTCTACCCTACCCTACTCTACCCTACCCTACCCTACTCTACCCTACCCTACCCTACTCTACCCTACCCTACCCTCCCCTACTCTACCCTACCCTACCCTACTCTACCCTACTCTACCCTACCCTACCCTACTCTACCCTACTCTCCCCTCCCCTACTCTACCCTACCCTACTCTACCCTACCCTACTCTACCCTACCCTACCCTACCCTACCCTACTCTACCCTACCCTACCCTACCCTACCCTACCCCACTCTACTAAGATTATTCTGAGAGCCACATCTGGTTCTTCATCACATTTCAATGTTTCTGGTTCCAATCATTTGAATCCATTACATAAGTATTATATCATTAAATACAGATATTCCCAGAATGAGTCTGAGTCTGTGGTGGTAGAGCAGAGCAGGTCTATTTTGGGCTGTGATCCTATGATGCGAACACTGAAATATTTGCACACATCCCTGAAACACAGGACATAGTTTCCACTGCTGCACACACTCACTTTACTGAGCACTCCTGTTGTGTGTTTTAATTCATGATCTTTGTGTGTTTTCCTCCTGTGTGTGTGTGTGTGTCTGTGTCTTTGTGTGTCTGTGTGTGTCTCTCTGTGTGTGTGTCTGTGTCTGTGTGTGTCTGTGTGTGTGTGTCTGGGTCTGTGTGTGTGTGTCTGTGTGTGTGTGTCTGTGTCTGTGTGTGTGTGTGTGTGTGTGTGTCTGTGTCTGTGTGTGTGTGCGTGTGTCTGTGTGTGTGTCTGTGTGTGTGTGTGTCAGGTAGGAGCCAATGCAGATATTCTCGTTGAAATTTCCCCCGTTTCTCAACCACAGCAGGAGAGAGACTAGAGAGAGCTAATGCTAATATAGTTAGCATCACAGTCCTTCCTGTAGCTCAGTCTCAGTCTCTGCCTCTGCCTCAGTCTCAGTCTCAGTCTCAGTCTCTGCCTCAGTCTCAGTCTCAGTCTCAGTCTCTGCCTCAGTCTCTGCCTCAGTCTCAGTCTCAGTCTCAGTCTCAGTCTCAGTCTCAGTCTCAGTCTCTGCCTCAGTCTCTGCCTCAGTCTCAGTCTCAGTCTCAGTCTCTGCCTCAGTCTCAGTCTCAGTCTCTGTCTCTGCCTCAGTCTCAGTCTCTGCCTCAGTCTCAGTCTCAGTCTCAGTCTCTGCCTCAGTCTCAGTCTCAGTCTCAGTCTCAGTCTCAGTCTCTGCCTCTGCCTCAGTCTCAGTCTCTGCCTCAGTCTCTGCCTCTGCCTCAGTCTCTGCCTCTGCCTCAGTCTCTGCCTCTGCCTCTGCCTCTGCCTCAGTCTCAGTCTCAGTCTCAGTCTCTGTCTCTGTCTCTGTCTCTCTCTGCCTCTGCCTCAGTCTCTGCCTCTGCCTCAGTCTCTGCCTCAGTCTCAGTCTCAGTCTCTGCCTCAGTCTCAGTCTCAGTCTCAGTCTCAGTCTCTGCCTCAGTCTCAGTCTCAGTCTCAGTCTCAGTCTCAGTCTCTGTCTCAGTCTCAGTCTCAGTCTCAGTCTCAGTCTCAGTCTCAGTCTCTGCCTCAGTCTCAGTCTCAGTCTCAGTCTCTGCCTCAGTCTCAGTCTCAGTCTCAGTCTCAGTCTCTGCCTCAGTCTCAGTCTCAGTCTCAGTCTCAGTCTCTGCCTCAGTCTCAGTCTCAGTCTCAGTCTCAGTCTCAGTCTCAGTCTCAGTCTCAGTCTCAGTCTCTCAGTCTCAGTCTCAGTCTCAGTCTCTGTCTCAGTCTCAGTCTCAGTCTCAGTCTCAGTCTCAGTCTCAGTCTCAGTCTCAGTCTCTGCCTCAGTCTCAGTCTCAGTCTCTGTCTCTGTCTCTGTCTCTGTCTCTGTCTCTGTCTCTGTCTCTGTCTCTGTCTCAGTCTCAGTCTCAGTCTCAGTCTCAGTCTCTGTCTCTGTCTCTGTCTCTGTCTCTGTCTCTGTCTCTGTCTCTCTGTCTCTGTCTCTGTCTCAGTCTCAGTCTCAGTCTCAGTCTCAGTCTCAGTCTCAGTCTCAGTCTCTGCCTCAGTCTCAGTCACTGAGGCTGAGGTCCTTCGGAGTGAGCCTCTGCTCAGGACTTTTTATGACTCTGTGGCCTCTGCCATACATTACGCTGCCGTGTGCTGGGCCCCGGGCAGGACTCTGTGGAGGAGGTGAGGGACAGGAGGCCCCTGGACTCTGTGGAGGAGGTGAGGGACAGGAGGCCCCTGGACTCTGTGGAGGAGGTGAGGGACAGGAGGCCCCTGGACTCTGTGGAGGAGGTGAGGGACAGGAGGCCCCTGGACTCTGTGGAGGAGGTGAGGGACAGGAGGCCCCTGGACTCTGTGGAGGAGGTGAGGGACAGGAGGCCCCTGAACTCTGTGGAGGAGGTGAGGGACAGGAGGCCCCTGGACTCTGTGGAGGAGGTGAGGGACAGGAGGCCCCTGGACTCTGTGGAGGAGGTGAGGGACAGGAGGCCCCTGGACTCTGTGGAGGAGGTGAGGGACAGGAGGGTGCTAGTCAAAGCCACCTCCATCATGAACAATACCTCCCACTGCACAGGACTGAGGAGGAGCTGAGGAGCTCCTTCAGTGTAGGAAGGAGCAGGGCCTTTATCCCCACCGCTGTCAGACTGTACAAGAAGTCACTTTAAGTCACTGTATAAGACTGAAAAACCTGCACTAATACTGACACTATTTCTGATTGCCACTCTTTAAACTGCCACTATTTTATGAACATAATATATCCTGAATTTAACATGTTTGCACATTTCCACTCTTTTTGCACAATCTGAGTGTTTCTATCCGAGCCAAATGTGACATGTACATTTCTCCTCCTTGTGAGATAAATAAAGAATATCTTATCTTATCCATCCATCCATCCATTTTCTACCCTTTAATCCATTTCTGGGTCAGGGGGGTGGCAGTCAGAGATGCCACCCAAGTCTCATAGCACCAGCCCCTCACTGACCCTCTGCAGGTGGTGAGTCCACAGGAGGACGGCTGCTCTCTGACTGTGAGCATAGCCTTGATCTTTCAGTGGGGGCTTTGGGCAAAGTGGGGTTAAGTGTCTTGCCCAAGGACACAACGACAGGAGTCATCAGTGGGAGTCGGTGGAGAGGTGGGATAAGATGGAGAGGAGGTATCTTATCTTATCTCAGACATAAATGTGAACAGCCACAAAACATTAGTCCTGGTCCCAGGTCTCTGTCCTGAAGTCCTCTCACATTAGTCCTGGTCTCATGACCTTGCACCAAATTACTTCTCTGAGGAGCACAGGGACTGGTCTCCTGCTGGGACTCTGAGGAGCACAGGGACTGGTCTCCTGCTGGGACTCTGAGGAGCACAGGGACTGGCCTCCTGCTGGGACTCTGAGGAGCACAGGGACTGGCCTCCTGCTGGGACTCTGAGGAGCACAGGGACTGGCCTCCTGCTGGGACTCTGAGGAGCACAGGGACTGGCCTCCTGCTGGGACTCTGAGGAGCACAGGGACTGGCCTCCTGCTGGGACTCTGAGGAGCAAAGGGACTGGACTCCTGCTGGGACTCTGAGGAGCACAGGGACTGGCCTCCTGCTGGGACTCTGAGGAGCACAGGGACTGGCCTCCTGCTGGGACTCTGAGGAGCACAGGGACTGGACTCCTGCTGGGGCTCTGAGGAGCACAGGGACTGGCCTCCTGCTGGGACTCTGAGGAGCACAGGGACTGGCCTCCTGCTGGGACTCTGAGGAGCACAGGGACTGACTCCTGCTGGGACTCTGAGGAGCACAGGGACTGGACTCCTGCTGGGACTCTGAGGAGCACAGGGACTGGAAGAAGCGTCTCTGTGTGTTTCTTGTCAAAGGCTTCTGGAGGCTGTACCTGTACTGAACTCCTGAGTAGAAGTGGAAGCTAACCTCTGCAGCCGGTGTTAGCGTGTTAGCGTGGGCCTGGGTCATGTCTGCTTTTCACCAGACCTCCAGCCGAGCACCAGGAGACCCGCCTCCTCCTCGACTGCATCCGTTCACACTGCGCTCCTCAGAGACGCTCCCACACACGGCTGTGGCTCAGGTTCCAGGAGCTACAGCTACTAGCAACAAATCACCTGCAGCACTTTACTCTGTGAGAGCGACTGAGGCTCAAACACTCTGCAGTCAGATTTATGGACCGGGGTGTACGAGTGGAGGAGAGGCCTCCGGTGAGCTGTTTGCATGTTCTCCTAATGCCTCGTGCTTTATACAGCTGGGGAGCGTTTCAGATTTATGCAGCTACAACCTAGAGCAGTCTCCCTGAGAATGTGAGACAGGCTTCTACTCTACGGCTAGAGTAGAGTAGAGTAGAGTAGAGTAGAGGAACAAGTCATGTCTGTGAAACTGAGACGATGAATCAAGAATCAAAATGATTTGTATTGTAAGTAAGTAAGTAAGTAAGTTTTTATTTATATACCGCCTTTTCACTGCAGATCTGAGTCTCAAAGCGGTTTACAATTGTTAATTTTGGGCATTTGTCTCTCACTCCACACAGAGATGGGAGTGGGGTCGCCAGTACAGGAGGCGCATGCCAGAACTATTTGTTACTTACAATTGCCATTGTAAGTAACAGGAAGTCACAAACTAGGAATGGCCCCAAGCTTCTGTGACGTGTTTTGAGGTTTTCACACCTTTTAATGATGTTTGCAAAAGTCAGGTTTATTTATATAGAACAAGTTTTCAAAGTGCTGCGGCCTCAGTCCTGGGTCTACAGCCTCAGTCCTGGCTCTACAGCCTCAGTCCTGGGTCTACAGCCTCAGCCCTGGCTCTACAGCCTCAGTCCTGGCTCTACAGCCTCAGTCCTGGGTCTACAGCCTCAGCCCTGGCTCTACAGCCTCAGTCCTGGGTCTACAGCCTCAGTCCTGGGTCTACAGCCTCAGTCCTGGGTCTACAGCCTCAGTCCTGGGTCTACAGCCTCAGTCCTGGGACTACAGCCTCAGTCCTGGGTCTACAGCCTCAGTCCTGGGTCTACAGCCTCAGCCCTGGCTCTACAGCCTCAGTCCCACTATGGGTCAATGAGTGGATGGTGTATTCGTCTGGGCACGTTGGCTTCAGCTTCAGGGTCTGAGAGAATCAGAACTGCACTGAGCCAGAGATGAAGCAGTGGATTGGCAGAAGCGGCGCATCTGTCCATCACCACTGACGCTAACTCGAGGCAGGCGCGGCTGCACGAGGAGGTACGACCAAAGAAAACCGTCAATCACTCACAGCTCCAACGGCCGCAGAGACACATCGCCAACCAGAACCAGGACTGAGGCTGTAGATCCAGGACTGAGGCTGTAGACCCAGGACTGAGGCTGTAGACCCAGGACTGAGGCTGTAGACCCAGGACTGAGGCTGTAGACCCAGGACTGAGGCTGTAGACCCAGGACTGAGACTGTAGACCCAGGACTGAGGCTGTAGACCCAGGACTGAGGCTGTAGACCCAGGACTGAGGCTGTAGACCCAGGACTGAGGCTGTAGACCCAGGACTGAGGCTGTAGACCCAGGACTGAGGCTGTAGACCCAGGACTGAGACTGTAGACCCAGGACTGAGGCTGAAGACCCAGGACTGAGGCTGTAGACCCAGGACTGAGGCTGTAGACCCAGGACTGAGGCTGTAGACCCAGGACTGAGGCTGTAGACCCAGGACTGAGTCTGTAGACCCAGGACTGAGGCTGTAGACCCAGGACTGAGGCTGTAGACCCAGGACTGAGGCTGTAGACCCAGGACTGAGGCTGTAGACCCAGGACTGAGGCTGTAGACCCAGGACTGAGGCTGTAGACCCAGGACTGAGGCTGTAGACCCAGGACTGAGGCTGTAGACCCAGGACTGAGACTGTAGACCCAGGACTGAGACTGTAGACCCAGGACTGAGGCTGTAGACCCAGGACTGAGGCTGTAGACCCAGGACTGAGGCTGTAGACCCAGGACTGACCCTGTAGACCCAGGACTGAGGCTGTAGACCCAGGACTGAGACTGTAGACCCAGGACTGAGGCTGTAGACCCAGGACTGAGACTGTAGACCCAGGACTGAGACTGTAGACCCAGGACTGAGACTGTAGACCCAGGACTGAGGCTGTAGACCCAGGACTGAGGCTGTAGACCCAGGACTGAGGCTGTAGACCCAGGACTGAGGCTGTAGACCCAGGGTTCATCATTACTGCTGCTGCTAACTCAGGACAGGAGGCAGCACCGTGGCTGAGTGGTTAGCACTCTCAGCTGAGTTAATCAGAAACACATCCACACAAACAGATCCATGATTAAAGTGACTCACAGTCATAAGGTCCCAGCAGCAGGTGGTGTCTGCTGGTCCGTGTCCTGTCCTCTTCTGCAGAGTCTGTGGAGTCTGAAGTAAAGCTACAGCACATTTGAGTACGAGACAAATGGATTCTTCTCCCACACGTCACTGACCCAAGGATTGAAATAGATGGTTGTTTTAGACATTGTACAACATTTAAACGTCAGAGTGTCCTGCTCAGCCCTGGACACAGATGTGGTTCTGTGATGGGCATCTTTCCTCCTCGTAAATGGAACACAGGAGCGATGTGTGTCTCTGGTGTTTGCTCGTGTCGTCTGCCTCTGATGACAGCGGATCATCCATCTTCCTCAGCTCTGCTCCACCACAGTTAGATTTACTGCTCTGTCTCCCCTCGAGCTGAAGACACGCTGCGTAAATCAGACTGTAGGTTTTCCACAAGGACTGAGGACAGAGGACAGAGGACTGAGGAGAGAGGACAGAGGAGAGAGGACAGAGGACTGAGGAGAGAGGAGAGAGGACAGAGGACTGAGGAGAGAGGACTGAGGAGAGAGGACAGAGGAGAGAGGACAGAGGAGAGAGGACAGAGGAGAGAGGACAGAGGAGAGAGGACAGAGGAGAGAGGACTGAGGAGAGAGGACATAGGACAGAGGACAGAGGAGAGAGGACTGAGGACAGAGGAGAGAGGACAGAGGAGAGAGGACAGAGGAGAGAGGACTGAGGACAGAGGAGAGAGGACAGAGGAGAGAGGACAGAGTCTGAGGAAATGTCAATATTTATATAAATTAAAAATATATGGATTTGTTCTGTGTCAAACACTCAAAATACTAGAAAGATCTGCCAAGTTGATTGTTCTTCCCATTATAAACTCTTCTCCCTCCTCCCCCTCCTCACCCTCCTCCCCCTCCTCACCCTCCTCCCCCTCCTCACCCTCCTCACCCTCCTCCCCCTCCTCACCCTCCTCACCCTCACCCCCTCCTCACCCTCCTCACCCTCCTCACCCTCCTCACCCTCCTCACCCTCCTCACCCTCCTCCCCCTCCTCACCCTCCTCACCCTCCTCCCCCCTCTTCCAGACACCAGTCGGCCCAAAAAGAACCAGGAGTCTGACGGAGTAGAGTACCACTTCATCTCCAAGCACCTCTTCGAAACAGACATCAACAATAACAAGTAAGCAGTGTGAGGCTGTAGACCCAGGGCTGAGGCTGTAGACCCAGGACTGAGGCTGTAGACCCAGGGCTGAGGCTGTAGACCCAGGACTGAGGCTCTAGACCCAGGACTGAGGCTTTAGACCCAGGACTGAGGCTGTAGACCCAGGACTGAGGCAGTAGACCCAGGACTGAGGCTGTAGACCCAGGACTGAGGCTGTAGACCCAGGACTGAGGCTGTAGACCCAGGACTGAGGCTGTAGACCCAGGACTGAGGCCGTAGACCCAGGACTGAGGCTGTAGACCCAGGACTGAGGCTGTAGACCCAGGGCTGAGGCTGTAGACCCAGGACTGAGGCTGTAGACCCAGGACTGAGGCTGTAGACCCAGGACTGATAATTGTTGTCTAAACGTTGCCGTGGATCCTTCTCGTTGGGGATGGTTGAAATGAGGAAGAGTTAGTGATGCGGCCGTGAAGCAAGCTGTGATCTGGAACCCTGATTTACAAGAGCACCAGAGAGAGCTCGTTATAGAGAGAGGAGCAGCAGAGCAGGGGAGAGGGGTGCGATGGAAAGATGATATCACAGTCTGCCGAGCGTGTTTTATGGGCCACATCCTGAGTCTTTGTAGTGGACTGGCATCGCTCACATGTAGCGGGTCTTTGCCGAATGTGGCGAGGACCTGCCAAAGGATGAGGGCTCTGAGGCTGAGACCGAGGCCGGGGCCGGGGCCGGGTCTCTGCAGCCGCTCAGAGAGAGACAGGATCAACACGACACAGGAAACACTGTAGCAATGAATAGATACCACACAGAAGAAAGATTATTACATTTCAGGTGCATTTGAAATAACTACTTAGCTCTCTGGTCTCTTATCTCTATCTTTCTAGTCTCTTTCTGGTGTCTATCTGGTCTCCCTCTGGTCTCTCTCTCTGGTCTATCTCGCTGGTCTCTCTCTCTGGTCTATCTCTCTGGTCTCTCTCTCTGGTCTCTCTCTGGTCTCTCGCTGGTCTCTCTCGCTGGTCTCTCTCGCTGGTCTCTCTCTGGTCTCTCTCTGGTCTCTCTCTCTGGTCTCTCTGGTCTCTCGCTGGTCTCTCTCGCTGGTCTCTCTCTCTGGTCTCTCTCTCTGGTCTCTCTCTGGTCTCTCTCTCTGGTCTCTCTCTCTGGTCTCTCTCTGGTCTCTCTCTGTGGTCTCTCTCTGGTCTCTCTCTCTGGTCTCTCTCTGGTCTCTCTCTCTGGTCTCTCTCTGGTCTCTCTCTCTGGTCTCTCTCTGGTCTCTCTCTCTGGTCTCTCTCTGGTCTCTCTCTCTGGTCTCTCTCTGGTCTCTCTCTGGTCTCTCTCTGGTCTCGCTCTCTGGTCTCTCTCTGGTCTCTCTCTGGTCTCTCTCTGGTCTCTCTCTGGTCTCTCTCTCTGGTCTCTCTCTGGTCTCTCTCTCTGGTCTCTTTCTCTGGTCTCTCTCTGGTCTCTCTCTCTGGTCTCTCTCTCTGGTCTCTCTCTGGTCTCTCTCTCTGGTCGCTCTCTGGTCTCTCTCTCTGGTCTCTCTCTCTGGTCTCTCTCTGGTCTCTCTCTGGTCTCTCTCTGGCCTCTCTCTGGTCTCTCTCTCTGGTCTCTCTCTCTGGTCTCTCTCTCTGGTCTCTCTCTGGTCTCTCTCTGGTCTCTCTCTCTGGTCTCTCTCTGGTCTCTCTCTGGTCTCTCTCTGGTCTCTCTGTCCACTGTGGCTTGTAAAGGGTGAGGTCAGTGACTGTAGTGTGTGACCAGTGAGTCCACATCAGAGGCATAGCTCCGCACTCGGCCGGGCTTCCCCACAGATACACACACACACACACACACACACACACACACACACACACACACACACACACACACACACACACACACACACACACACACACACACACACACACACACACACACACACACACACACACACACACACACACACACACACAAGCAGAGTCCGAGCTGTAGTGATGTCATTTTTCTGTTCGGTCTCAGGCCTGTGTATGTATTTGTGTCTCGCCCTAAACCACAACAGCAGTCGTCTCAGATTCCTTCCCTGGTCGAGGAGCAGTGGCTCTACTCCGTGCCCCTTTTTTGTGTTTGACCTGGAAGCACAGCAGCTGAAAGGGTAGCACTCATGACTCACTGCCAGAAGGTTCCTGCTCTGGCCTCTCTGTGTCCTTTACATGATTTGTGTCTGAGTGGCTTTCATCCAGGACAAAACACTATTTAAAGTTCTTCTGGTCTCCCTCTGGTCTCCCTCTCTGGTCTCGCTCTGGTCTCTCCCTCTGGTCTCCCTCTGGTCTCTCTCTGGTCTCCTTCTGGTCTCTCTCTGGTCTCTCTCTGGTCTCTCTCTGTTCTCCTTCTGGTCTCTCTGGTCTCTCTCTGGTCTCTCCCTCTGGTCTCCCTCTGGCCTCCCTCTGGTCTCCCTCTGGTCTCCCTCTGGTCTCCCTCTGGTCTCCCTCTGGTCTCACTCTGGTCTCCCTCTGGTCTCCCTCTGGTCTCCCTCTGGCCTCCCTCTGGTCTCCCTCTGGTCTCCCTCTGGTCTCTCTGGTCTCCCTCTGGCCTCCCTCTGGTCTCCCTCTGGTCTCCCTCTGGTCTCCCTCTGGTCTCACTCTGGTCTCCCTCTGGTCTCCCTCTGGTCTCCCTCTGGTCTCTCTCTGGTCTCCCTCTGGTCTCTCCCTCTGGTCTCTCCCTCTGGTCTCACTCTGGTCTCTCCCTCTGGTCTCTCACTCTGGTCTCCCTCTGGTCTCTCCCTCTGGTCTCTCCCTCTGGTCTCCCTCTGGTCTCTCACTCTGGTCTCACTCTGGTCTCCCTCTGGTCTCCCTCTGGTCTCACATGCATGTATGACTGTGTAAGTATCTCCAGTTTAGCAGTGAGCTCATAGCGTCTCGTCTCAGTCTGTCAGCAGAGATCGTGCTGTGGTTCAGGTCTGAAAGTGATGTTTTGGTCGGAGTCCGAGGGTCGAGCTGAGGCGGCGTGTGATGTGGCGTTCTGATGTGGCGCCCGCGTGGGACGTTTGCACTAATTACAGGCACCAGGAGCCGAGGAGAGAGAGCGACAGGCTGTTTGTGTTCAGGCTGAGTGCAGTGGGAACAATCCACAAACAGAGAGGAAGGTCCGAGTCCGGGTCCGAGTCTGAGTCTGCAGTCGGAGGAGCCCATGGGTCAGGTAGAAGCTAACCACTCAGCCACGTGTTGGGTCAGGGTTAGCGTCAGGGTTAGCGTCAGGGTTAGCGTCAGGGTTAGCGTCAGGGTTAGCGTCAGGGTTAGCGTACACTAATAAGCACTTAATTTGCTGTTTATTGGTGAAAGTGTCACCAATTCTCCATCCATCCATTTTCTTCCACTTTATCCATTGCCGGGTCGCGGAGGCAGCAGTCTGAGCAGAGACACACACCTCCTGCAGCTCATCTCTGACACTCTGCTCCCTGTGCGTCCAGTTAGACCCCAGTGGTTTCTCTGTAATAAACTGTTTATGATTAGCTTCATATAAGTGAGCCCTAAACTCACACAGAGCCGCTCCAGAGTCTCTCTCCTGTTCCTGAGTCTCTCTCCTGTTCCTGAGTCTCTCTCCTGTTCCAGAGTCTCTCTCCTGTTCCAGAGTCTCTCTCCTGTTCCAGAGTCTCTCTCCTGTTCCTGAGTCTCTCTCCTGTTCCAGAGTCTCTCTCCTGTTCCTGAGTCTCTCTCCTGTTCCAGAGTCTCTCTCCTGTTCCAGAGTCTCTCTCCTGTTCCAGAGTCTCTCTCCTGTTCCAGAGTCTCTCTCCTGTTCCTGAGTCTCTCTCCTGTTCCTGAGTCTCTCTCCTGTTCCAGAGTCTCTCTCCTGTTCCTGAGTCTCTCTCCTGTTCCAGAGTCTCTCTCCTGTTCCTGAGTCTCTCTCCTGTTCCAGAGTCTCTCTCCTGTTCCAGAGTCTCTCTCCTGTTCCAGAGTCTCTCTCCTGTTCCTGAGTCTCTCTCCTGTTCCAGAGTCTCTCTCCTGTTCCTGAGTCTCTCTCCTGTTCCAGAGTCTCTCTCCTGTTCCTGAGTCTCTCTCCTGTTCCAGAGTCTCTCTCCTGTTCCTGAGTCTCTCTCCTGTTCCAGAGTCTCTCTCCTGTTCCTGAGTCTCTCTCCTGTTCCAGAGTCTCTCTCCTGTTCCAGAGTCTCTCTCCTGTTCTAGAGTCTCTCTCCTGTTCCAGAGTCTCTCTCCTGTTCCAGAGTCTCTCTCCTGTTCCTGAGTCTCTCTCCTGTTCCTGAGTCTCTCTCCTGTTCCTGAGTCTCTCTCCTGTTCCAGAGTCTCTCTCCTGTTCCAGAGTCTCTCTCCTGTTCCAGAGTCTCTCTCCTGTTCCTGAGTCTCTCTCCTGTTCCTGAGTCTCTCTCCTGTTCCTGAGTCTCTCTCCTGTTCCAGAGTCTCTCTCCTGTTCCAGAGTCTCTCTCCTGTTCCAGAGTCTCTCTCCTGTTCCTGAGTCTCTCTCCTGTTCCAGAGTCTCTCTCCTGTTCCAGAGTCTCTCTCCTGTTCCTGAGTCTCTCTCCTGTTCCAGAGTCTCTCTCCTGTTCCTGAGTCTCTCTCCTGTTCCTGAGTCTCTCTCCTGTTCCTCGCGGAGCACAAACACCCGCCGCAGTGATCTCTAATCCTGAGCTGTGCTTTTAAAACCAGCCTCAGAAAAAAAACCATTTAAACCATTTTCCTGAAGCGGGTCCAGCTCTTGTACAGATTAGTCCCATTTACACAGCCTTCTTACACGGCCAATTACCATAAAGCTGCCGTACACGACATTAGCCCGTCTGACTCTCGGAGCGCTTGTACTCCTGCCAGAATTCTTTCCACTGCAGCAAAAACCAACAGCTTTCTCCTCCTCCCGAAAAACAGAAAACTGCCCCGTTAGAAGGCCCCACGGGTTCTCTGGAGGTCTGAGAGGAACCAGGAGGAGTAGCCTCCTGGAGAGGGTCTGGAGGTCTGAGAGGAACCAGGAGGAGCAGCCTCCTGGAGAGGGTCTGGAGGTCTGAGAGGAACCAGGAGGAGTAGCCTCCTGGAGAGGGTCTGGAGGTCTGAGAGGAACCAGGAGGAGTAGCCTCCTGGAGAGGGTCTGGAGGTCTGAGAGGAACCAGGAGGAGTAGCCTCCTGGAGAGGGTCTGGAGGTCTGAGAGGAACCAGGAGGAGTAGCCTCCTGGAGAGGGTCTGGAGGTCTGAGAGGGACCAGGAGGAGCAGCCTCCTGGAGAGGGTCTGGAGGTCTGAGAGGGACCAGGAGGAGCAGCCTCCTGGAAAGGGTCTGGAGGTCTGAGAGGGACCAGGAGGAGCAGCCTCCTGGAAAGGGTCTGGAGGTCTGAGAGGGACCAGGAGGAGCAGCCTCCTGGAGAGGGTCTGGAGGTCTGAGAGGGACCAGGAGGAGTAGCCTCCTGGAGAGGGTCTGGAGGTCTGAGAGGGACCAGGAGGAGTAGCCTCCTGGAGAGGGTCTGGAGGTCTGAGAGGGACCAGGAGGAGCAGCCTCCTGGAGAGGGTCTGGAGGTCTGAGAGGGACCAGGAGGAGCAGCCTCCTGGAAAGGGTCTGGAGGTCTGAGAGGGACCAGGAGGAGCAGCCTCCTGGAGAGGGTCTGGAGGTCTGAGAGGGACCAGGAGGAGTAGCCTCCTGGAGAGGGTCTGGAGGTCTGAGAGGGACCAGGAGGAGCAGCCTCCTGGAAAGGGTCTGGAGGTCTGAGAGGGACCAGGAGGAGCAGCCTCCTGGAGAGGGTCTGGAGGTCTGAGAAGGACCAGGAGGAGCAGCCTCCTGGAGAGGGTCTGGAGGTCTGAGAGGGACCAGGAGGAGCAGCCTCCTGGAGAGGGTCTGGAGGTCTGAGAGGGACCAGGAGGAGCCACCATCATAAGCCTAAAACGCAGCTGCGTCTTTGCGCCAAACAAAAATCAATAAATGTTTTATATATTTTCTGTCTCCAGTCTCACCTGTGTGTGTCTGTGTGTGTGTCTCTCTTTCTCTCTCTGCGTGTATGTGTGTGTATCTCTGTGTGTGTGTGTGGCTCTCTCTCTCTCTCTCTCTCTCTGCGTGTGTGTGTGTGTCTCTCTCTGCGTGTATGTGTGTGTGTCTGTATGTGTGTGTGTCAGGTTTGTAGAGTATGGAGAGTTTAAGGGGAACTACTACGGGACGAGCCTGGACTCCATTCGCTCAGTTCTGGCCAAGAACAAAGTGTGCCTCATCGACATCCAGCCCCATGTAAGACACACACACTCATACTGACAACACACACTCATACTGACAACACACACTCATACTGACAACACACAGACACACAAACACACACATTTGTGTTGCTGTGATACTATCCCGTTGTTGTTTTTCAAAGGTGTTGATGTTTAGAGCGTTGTCATGGAAACGTGTGTTACCATCGTCGCCATTTTCCTGGTTTCGAGGTTCTATGTTTTCTCCACATTTGTTTTTGTTCGTTGTCTTTGTTTTTGCTTAGATTTGTTTTTCAAAGTTGTCGATGTTTGAGAGTGTTGCCGTGGAAACCCTCAGACTCACATCAGCTGAGGTCTGTGCGAGGCCTTCAGGAGCTACAGCACTTTGAAGACCAGGACGAGCTGAGATGGAGCCCTCACAGCCGCAGGGACCAGGACGAGCTGAGATGGAGCCCTCACAGCCGCAGGGACCAGGACGAGCTGAGATGGAGCCCCCACAGCCGCAGGGACCAGGACGAGCTGAGATGGAGCCCTCACAGCCGCAGGGACCAGGACAAGCTGAGATGGAGCCCTCACAGCCGCAGGGACCAGGAGAGGCTGAGATGGAGCCCTCACAGCCACAGGGACCAGGACGAGCTGAGATGGAGCCCTCACAGCCGCAGGGACCAGGACGAGCTGAAATGGAGCCCTCACAGCCGCAGGGACCAGGACGAGCTGAGATGGAGCCCTCACAGCCGCAGGGACCAGGACGAGCTGAGATGGAGCCCTCACAGCCGCAGGGACCAGGACGAGCTGAGAAGGAGCCCTCACAGCCGCAGGGACCAGGACGAGCTGAGATGGAGCCCTCACAGCCGCAGGGACCAGGACGAGCTGAGATGGAGCCCTCACAGCCGCAGGGACCAGGACGAGCTGAGATGGAGCCCTCACAGCCGCAGGGACCAGGACGAGCTGAGATGGAGCCCTCACAGCCACAGGGACCAGGACGAGCTGAGATGGAGCCCTCACAGCCGCAGGGACCAGGACGAGCTGAGATGGAGCCCTCTCCGCCGCAGGGACCAGGACGAGCTGAGATGGAGCCCTCACAGCCGCAGGGACCAAGACGAGCTGAGATGGAGCCCTCACAGCCGCAGGGACCAGGACGAGCTGAGATGGAGCCCTCACAGCCGCAGACACAGGACACAGGTCTAATAAAGCAGCCGACCACACAGCGCTCACACCTGGTCCTCAGGAGCATCTCTCAGCGGCGCCTGGCTCCTCTGGTCCACTCCTTCTGGGACACGATGGAGACCGCAGACCTCTCTCAGCGCGAGGCCCGAGCCAGGGTGGCTCAGCTGTTCCTGGACATCGTGACCACGGCCTGTCAGGAGGTCCTGGTGGTCTTCAAGGACTTTGTGTCCGGCTCAAGTCCAGCAGAAGCTCCTGCAGTGACGCAGAGCAGTGTGAAGAGGGCGCTGTGGGGACACATGTTCAAGTCCAGATGTTGCAGACCACGGGAGGAGTCTGAGAGCCAGCTGCTGGACCTGGCCAGTCTGGAGGTGGCCAACCAGGTCAACACCACTCTGTCCCAGGACCAGGACCAGGAGGACCAGCAGAAGGCACGAACTACAGAGCCTCAGGAGGAGGTCACCAAGTCCCAGCGTCTGAGGATCATGGAGGCTCTGAGGAAGTACTGCCCATGTCTTTGTCCTCAGTCCAGCCCTGGACCTCAGGACAGGTCTCTGAGGTCCACGGAACAACCTGGACTGGAAGACTACAGCCAGGACCCACTGAGGTCCACTGAGCAGGACTACAGCCAGGACCTCCATCAGGACCTCCATCAGGACCTCCAGCAGGAGAAGCAGCAGGCTCAGATGCAGCAGTCCTCTTCGTACAGTCTGACAGCAGACCCTGTGAGAGTGAGGGACCTCCTGGAGCTGGAGGCTGTGAAGATGAGCGGAGATGATCTGAGTGAGGCTTCCCTGGTCCAGAGGAGCCCAGACACAGCTCCTGCTGAGCTCCTCCTGGAGGAGAGACTTGGTGAAGGAGGTCCTTTAGAAGCGGTCCTCGTTCAGGACACAAAGACTGAGGCCCGACCTCAGAAGAACAAGTTCCTCTGTCGCTCCTGCTGCGCTAGCAACTGTCTGAAGAAACTAGCAAGAAAACTGTGTGGTCCCACACTGACCACTCCCCCCAGAGACACTCTGCAGGAGGCCTCTGTGCCTGAGGAGGTGAAGCTGAAGGAGGAGGAGGAGGTGAAGCTGAAGGAGGAGGAGGTGAAGCTGAAGGAGGAGGAGCCTGAGCTGGACGAGAAGGCTCAGGCCCTGGAGGAGTTCGCTCTGCTGCTGGCAAACCCCCAGAAGGAGGTCCAGTGTGTCCCTGGAGGTCCCTTTGAGCAGGAGGTCCAGTGTGTCCCTGGAGGTCCCTTTAAGCAGGAGGTCCAGTGTGTCCCTGGAGGTCCCTTTGAGCAGGAGGTCCAGTGTGTCGCCGGAGGTCCCTCTGAGCAGTGGGACCTCCCCCACGTGGTGGGCCTGGTGTACGAGCTGGTGTCCCGCATCCTGCAGACCAACAAGTTTGTGGATCTGAAGGATCTGTCTGCGGCTCTGCTGCAGAAGCTGCATCAGCAGATGAAAGACTGGAAGATCAAAGTCAAAGCGGACACTGTCCACATCAAAGAGGTGTCCAAGCGGGTGTACAGGGACCTCTGCTTGGGACGCCCCAGGAACTGGGTCACTCTGGACAGTCTGATCCGACAGGACTACCTCGAAGAGATCGTCCTCACCATCCGCAGGTATCTGGTCTAAACCCCGCCCCCTGCTAAACCCCGCCCCCTCTGCTAAACCCCGCCCTCTCCTCTTGACAAACGTTTTCAATAAATGTGCAAACATTTTAAAAAAACATGTTTGTCTCTTTGTGTGTGTTTGTAGAATGATAAAAAAGGTAAAAACTCAAAAAAATGCATTCATGTTTTTAGCTAAAACAGACATTTTTCTCTATTAACTGTTTGTGATTGTATGAATATGGTTCACATGAGTTTTTTAGTTTAGTTTTTTTTATTATTTCACATGGGTTTTGAGCCGATGGTGAAACACAGACACGCAACTGTTGTGTGTTTGTGAATGTTTTCAGAGAGTCTGAACTGGACTCTGAGGGTCAGACAGGGGCAGAGCTCAGAGCCACGCGGAGGTAGCAAGACGAGACAACACCTTTGAAAAACTACAACGGGATAGTGTTGTTAGTGTGTGTGCCCCATTTAAGACACACACACTAACAACACATACACATTAACAAAACACAGAGACACACACACTAACAACACACACTCATACAACACACACTAACAATACACACTCATACAACACACACTAACAACACACACTCATACTAACAGCTTTTCTGGCTGCACCATTGAGAGTTTACTTGTTGGTTCTGTGTCTGTGTGGTTTGGAAACATCACAGATAAAGAAAAGAGAGCTTTAAACAAGGTGCTCCGCTCTGCAAAGAGGACCGTGGGCTGTGAGCTTCCTGTTCTGGAGGTTCTTTATAAATCCAGACTTTTAAACAAAGCTCTTAGGATTGTTAATGACTCTTCTGGCCACCCTGGGAAAGCCATGTTCCAGCTTCTTCCCTCTGGCAGAAGATATCGCTCTCTGAGATGCAGGACATCTCGTTACGCTAACAGTTTTTATCCACAGGCTGTTATCAGTGTGAACAGAGCACTTTAATGATTTGCACTTGTTTTGAAACTGTTTTAGTCGATCCATTTCACAGTGACATTTGTTTACTGTTTTATTTGTTTTATTTTTGTCTTTTAATGTTTTATGTCTGTATTTGTCTGTGCACACTGGAGACTTTTGCTAATGTATTCCAATGTGGTTTTACTGCAAATGGCAAATAAACTGAATCTGAATCATACAACACACACTCTCTCCTCCCTCCCCCCTCCTCTCTCCTCTCTCTCCTCCCTCCCCCCTCCTCTCTCCTCCCTCCCCCCTCCTCTCTCCTCCCTCACCCCTCCTCTCTCCTCCCTCACCCCCCTCTCTCCTCCCTCACCCCTCCTCTCTCTCCTCCCTCCCCCTCCTCTCTCCCCTCCTCTCTCCCCTCAGTCCATAAAGCTCCTGAGGACAGCAGAGTTTAAGCCGTTGGTGGTGTTTGTGAAGCCTCCCCCCCTGGAGAGACTGAGGGAGACTCGGGCCCAGACCTCCCCCACGGAGCTCAGGAGCAGCGGCCGCAGCTTCACCGTGAGTGACCCTCAGACTCTGGTTCAGGACCAACTTCTTTTACTCTTTGGATGAGGGCTGAGATACTTTTCAAAGTTTTGGACTTTCAAAGTTTTGGACTTTGGAAATACTTTAGCAGTTTAGTCTCATGTTAGCTCAGAGAGAACCCTCCTCTCTCGGCCAATCACAGTCTGTCTCACCAGCCTCTCTCGGCCAATCACAGTCTGTCTCACCAGCCTCTCTCGGCCAATCACAGTCTGTCTCATCAGCCTCTCTCGGCCAATCACAGTCTGTCTCACCAGCCTCTCTCGGCCAATCACAGTCTGTCTCACCGACCTCTCTCGGCCAATCACAGTCTGTCTCACCAGCCTCTCTCGGCCAATCACAGTCTGTCTCACCGGCCTCTCTCGGCCAATCACAGTCTGTCTCACCGGCCTCTCTCGGCCAATCACAGTCTGTCTCACTGGCCTCTCTCGGCCAATCACAGTCTGTCTCACTGGCCTCTCTCGGCCAATCACAGTCTGTCTCACTGCGACAGAGAGGTCAAAGTGCATCATAATTTGCTCTCGTCGAGATTCGTCATTTCTGTTTTTCATGAGCCACATAATAATAATAATAATAATAATAATAATGATACATTTTATTTCTTAGGCACCTTTCTTGACACTCATGGTCGCCCTCACATACACATAAAAAAGGGCATTTTTAAAAACAGTCATGTGACCGCAGTCATGTGACCGCAGTCATGTGACCACAGTCATGTGACCGCAGTCATGTGACCGATCATTTGATTGTGATCATGTGACTGGTCATGTGACCGTGGTGTCTCTGCTGCAGGAGGAGGATTTCCAGCAGATGCTACGGGAGGCTCAGTTGATGGAGGCTCAGTACGGACACCTGTTTGAGAAGACCATCGTGAACGACGACCTGTCAGCGGCTTTCACTGAACTGAGGAAGCTCCTGGACCACATCCAGACCCAGTCCCACTGGGTCCCAGTCAGCTGGACTCACTCCTGAGACCTGGATCCTGAGACCTGGATCCTGAGACCTGGATCCTGAGACCTGGATCCTGAGACCTGGATTCTGAGACCTGGATCCTGAGACCTGGATCCTGAGACCTGGATCCTGAGACCTGGATCCTGAGACCTGGATCCTGAGACCTGGATCCTGAGACCTGGATCCTGAGACCTGGATCCTGAGACCTGGATCCTGAGACCTGGATCCTGAGGTCTGGATCTTGAGGTCTGGATCCTGAGGTCTGGATCTTGAGGTCTGGATCCTGAGGTCTGGATCCTGAGGTCTGGATCCTGAGGTCTGGATCCTGAGGTCTGGATCCTGAGACCTGGATCCTGAGGTCTGGATCCTGAGGTCTGGATCCTGAGGCCACAGTGACTGTGTCTGCTGTAGGGAGCAGAGTTGGTGGAAACGGGGCTAAAGTGAGTGTTTTTCATGAACTTAAAGATAACTTAAAGTTGTCTCTTCTGGTTTAGGTTTAACTTTGTAAGATTTAGTTTTTGATTCTTTTTAAAAACCTCTGTCACATTTTTAATCACTGTATTTTAAGTTATTGCACAAAGATGAGGTTTAGGTCGACGCACGCTCTGCTCCTGCTGGACTCAGGTGGACAATGCTAACCTGCTAGCTCCATGCTGAGGCTACAGGGAAGTGCTCATGGTGAAGTTTGGCTCCAGCTCAGTAACCCTTTAGTAAATACACATATGCAGACATTAGCTCCGAGGCTAACACCCGTATACAGCCTATGGTTGATGCTAAGCTAATGCTACATCCATCATAACAGTTATTCACATTTGTTCCAAACTTGTTGGAATTGGACTAAAAGACTCCGGAGCAGAGACGTGTGCGGCGGGTTTTCACTTCAAAGGGACATTTATATAATTATTACTATTATTATTGTCTTTGATCGACTGTTTAGTCTGTGGCCACACACCTGCTGAGTTATTGAACTAGAGTGTAGATGTTGTAGTGGGCGGGGCTTAGTGTGTAGTGGGCGGGGCTTAGATGGAGGCAGAGAGACGTACTGCACTGAGGCCAGTTTGTTTGTATAGCACACTTCATACACAAAGACACACATAACAATGGGGGGTTAATGTTCACTGTCCTCACACCTGGTCCTCTCACCTGGTCCTCTCCCCTGGTCCTCCCCTGGTCCCCTCCCCTGGTCCTCTCCCCTGGTCCTCCCCTGGTCCCCTCCCCTGGTCCTCTCCCCTGGTCCTCTCCCCTGGTCCTCTCCCCTGGTCCCTCTCCCCTGGTCCTCTCCCCTGGTCCTCTCCCCTGGTCCCCTCCCCTGGTCCTCTCCCCTGCCCCTCTCTCCTGGTCCTCCCCTGGTCCCTCTCCCCCCTGGTCCTCTCCCCTGCCCCTCTCTCCTGGTCCTCCCCTGGTCCTCTCCCCTGGTCCTCTCCCCTGGTCCTCTCCCCTGGTCCTCCCTCCTGGTCCTCCCCTGGTCCTCACCTGGTCCTGCGGCTTCATGGTGTGAGACACAGGTCTGTAGCAGTGTCAGATGCAGCTGAGATTCTGAAATGTTTTATTCTGAATTTTTTTATTAAAGAGATTTAAACTAGAGTTTGCAGCGTGTGGAGTTTGGTTTGAGTCCGGAGAGTGCAGACCACTGCCAAGAGGCACAGTCCAGTCTGGGAATACATTCCTGAGAGTTTATTCATAAAAAAATATAA